GTCATTTCGCCATTGTATATCCATGGATCCTTTATCACATACTAATTGGCTATATATTTATGGGGGTTTATATCTGGGCTCTCTATTCTTTTTCATTGATCTGTGGATCAATTCTTCTATAGATGAGTCTATTCTACTGCCAGTAACAAATTGTTATGATTACTGTGGCTTTGTAGTAGACCTTGACATTGGAGTGTAAACCCTCAGCTTTATTCTTCCTTGTCAGGATTGTTTTGGCTTTTCAGGGTCTTTGGTAGTTTCATATGAATTTTAGAACTATTTGTTCTAATTCATTGAAGAATACTGTTGATATTTTGATAGAGATTGCATTGAATCTGTAGATTGCTTTAGGCAGGATGGCCATTTTGACAATATTAATTCTTCTTATCCTTGAGCACAGGATGTATTTCCATTTATTAATTATTAATATCTTCTTTAATTTCTCTCATGAGTGTCTTGCAGTTTTCAGTGTATAGGTCTTTCACCTCTTGGTTAGGTTTATTCTTAGTTATTTTATTATTTTTTGATGCATTTGTGAATAGAATTGTTTTTCTTATTTCTCTTCCTGCTAGTTCATCATTAGTATATAGGAATGCAACAGATGTCTATATATTGATTTTATATCCTGCAACTTTGCTGAATTCAGTTACTAATTCTAGAAGTTTTGGAGTGGATTCTTTAGGGTTTTTTTATTTACAATATCATGTCATATGCACACGGAGATAGTTTACCTTCTTCCTTACCAATCTGGATGCCTTTTCCTTTCTGTTGTCTGATTACTGTAGCTAGGATCTCCAGTACTATGTTGAATAAAAGTGGGGAGAGTGGGCATCCTTGTCTCGTTCCCCAACTTAGAGGAAAAGCTTTCAGCTTTTTGCTGTTAAGTGATGTTGGCTGTGGGTTTGTCATATATGGCCTTTATTATGTTGAGGCACTTGCGCTCTATGACTATTTTGTTGAGGGTTTTTATCATGAATGTATGTTGAATTTTGTCAAATGCTTTTTCAACATCTATAGAAATGATCATGTGATTTTTGTCTTTCTCTTTGTTGATGTGGGGTATGATATTACTGGATTTCAGATATTGTTTCATCCTTGCATCCATGGAATAAATACCACTTGTTATGATGTATTTTTGAATTCGGTTTGCTAATATTTTGTTGATATATTTGCATCTTTGCTCATCAGGGATACTGATATTCAATTTTCTTTTTTTGTGGTGTCTTTGCCTAGTTTTGGTATTAAAGTGATGCTGGCCTCATAAATGAGTTTGGAGATATTCCCTCTTCTGCTGTCTGAATGGGTATTAGGTCTTCTCTAAATGTTTGATAAAATTCAGCGGTGAAGTCATCTGGTATAGGTGTTTCATTATTAGGTAGTTATTTGATTACCAATTGAATTTCATTGCTGGTAATTGGTCTGTTCAGATGTTCTGTTTTGACTGGGTCATTCTTGGAAGGTTGTATTTTTCTATAAAGTTGTCTATTTCTTCTAGGTTATCCAATTTATTGGCATATAATTTTTCATATTATTCTCTAATAATTTTTGTATTTCTGCAGTATCTATAGTAACTTTTCTTTTCTCATTTCTGATTCTGTTTATGTATGTACACTCTCTTTTCTTCTTGGGGCTTATTTATTTTGGTTGTTTTCTTGAAGAACCAGCTCTTAGTTTCATTCTTTCTTTCTATTGTTTTATTCTTCTCAATTTTACTTATTTCTGCTCTGATCTTTATTACGTCCCTCCTTCTACTTACTTTGGATCTCATTTATTCTTCTTTTTCTAGTTTCATTAATTGTGAGCTTAGACTGTTCATTTGAGATTGTTCTTTCTTGAGGTAAGCATGTATTGCAATATACTTTCCTCTTTGAACTGCCTTTGCTGTATCCCACATGTTTTTGGGGTTTTGAGTTGTTTTTATTTGTTTCCATGTATTGATTGATCTCTGTTTTTATTTAGTTATTGAACCATTGATTATTTAGGAGGATGTTGTTAAGCCTCCATGTGTTTGTGGACTTTTTTGTTTTCTTTACATCTTTGCATAATTTATTTCTAGTTTCATACCTTGTGGTCTGAGAAGCTGATTGGTACATCTCTCTTTTTTAATTTACTGAGGCTCTTTTTATGGCCTAGTATGTAATCTATTCTGGAAAATGTTCCACATACACTTGAGAAGAATGTGTATCCTGCAGCTTTTGGGTGGAGTGCTCTGTGGATGTCTGTTAGGCCCATGGGTTCTAATGTATTGTTCAGTGCCTCTGTGTCCTTAATTATTTTCTGTCTGGTTGATCTACTCTTTGGAGTGAGCAATGTGTTGAAGTCTCCCAAAACGTGTGCACTGTATTCTATTTCCCCCTTTAATCCTGTTAGTATTTGTTTCACATTTTTAGATGCTCTTATACTGGGTGCATAGATATTTATAATGGTTATATCCTCTTGGACATACAACTTATTTTTGTATGATGATTTTATATCATACAACTATACTCAGTTCATTTATTATTTCTAAAAGTGTTTGGTGGAATATTTAAAGTTTTCTATATATAAGATCACATTATCTGCCAACAGTTTTACTACTTCCTTTCCAATCTGGATACCTTTCATTTTTCTTGCCTAACTGTTCTAAGACTGCTAGTAGAATCTTTAAAATAATTGGTGAGAGTGGGCTCCTCATTGTTCTGTTCCTGATCTAAGAAGAAGAAAGGCTTTCAGCTTATTACAATTGAGTAGATGTTACTGTGGGCTTGCCAATGTGGCATTTATTATGTTGATGCACATTCCTCCTCCACCTCTTTTGTTGAGATTTTTACACGAAAGGTTACTGAATTTTGTCAAAGGGTTTATATGGCAGTATTGAGACGATTGTATGGTTTCTGGTTTTCATTTTGATAATGTAGTGTCTCACATTAATTGATTTGCATGTATCAACCATTCTTAAGGGGATAAATATCACTTGACCTTGGCCTTTACTGACTATTCCACACATAAGGGCTGTGGTTGCTGATTCTCAATGACATTAATAAGCCAAATAGCTTCTATTTCTGCATGCACAATCTAGTTCTATCCTACATATTTCATTTTAAATGAATGATCTTGACAAATCTTTGCATTTTTATTTTAAACCAACATTTAAAGAGTACTTGTTATTTGCTGGGCATGACGCTACATAATTTCACCTACAATACCACACTAAATTAAAATGTTGGCTGTTACTGCTCTGGCTCAGCAGAACAGAAGATACGTATATCTATTTTTTTTTTTTTTTTAGGAGAGCAAGGTACAGGCTTTTATTTAGAGATAAAGTGAAAGGACAGAGCTCTTGGCATGACAAGAGAGTGCCGTATATCCATTTTTTAATAAGAAAAATATTCCATTACTTAAACTGGACCCAATTTTTACTATCTTGAATGACTGATCTACACAGAATGCAGAATCTCTGATTTCATCTTTTCATGTCTGAATTTCATGAAAAGATTTTAAAGTCTATAAGTAAAGCCTCAGATGAAATCACAGAGAGCACTCCATGTGTAATCAGGATGGGTTTGAAATCTCAATTTTCATGGTTTAGATTCATAACCAAAGGATTCCTTGCTTAGTTCCAGGATCATCTGACTGTGAAGAAGCTCCCCTATCAAGTTGATTTTCTCCTGGAAACCAATTCTTGAGTAAATATCATAAGGAGAGTTTATCCACTAAATACTCATTTTATCCAAATTACAGTTGACCTGATTAAACATTAAGAATTAATTTGAAGTAGATGAGCCATTATTAAATAAAAGTCAAAGTACCTCTTTTCAGCTTCATCTCATATGATTACATGTATCTTACCACTGTGGTTGGGCAGTAAGATACCACCTGTAGAGTGGTATGATCGATTAGTTCTCATAATTTCAGCTTAGGTCTATCTGGACAAATCACCAACCCCAATCTGTCCTCTAATGAGTCATGCATGATGTACAAAGAAGCTCTGAAAAGGTGGCCTGAAGCTAAATCCTTGGCTACAAAACTATTAACTCACGACATTTAGAGATAGTGTTTTAAATTTGGGTAACTGAGAGACAATTAGTACACACAAAAAAAACAAGTTCAGTCAGCATAGGTAAGATGTTTCTTCTAGTATGTTAGTATTATAAGTATTAATATAGATCTATTTGACCAATAGCAGAAGGAACAAACACTCTCAACCATCCCTACACGTTACAGGCTGTATGATGTACTGAAAAGGAAGGAACATTGATTAATTAGAAACTGTGAGTTCCAGTCCAGGTCCCTCTTCTGCTGTTTAGCATCTATTTGGCCAGGGTAAATGACAACCTCTCTGAGATTTTTTTCTTTGTATCTATAAAACTGGCAACAAGGATCTCTGGCTTACCAACTTCAAGGAATTGCTGAAAGAATCAAATAGTTAATATATGCAAAAGTGTTTAAAAAAACATAAAAGCCAAATAAGCATTTGAACTTGCTATTGCAAGTATGTCTTTCAGAAGAAGATAGATGAGATTTAGAGTAAGGAATATTCTACCAGGAGGAAGAAGACCTAGCCTGGCTCCATCCCAAAGCAGCTGTGGGATTTTCTAACAAACCATGCAGAGTTCCTGGGTATTTGTTGCTTAGGTAAAATGTAAAAAAGTCAAATGAAATATTCACAACAACAGATATAAGAGTCTGAACTTTTTGCTGGATACCAGACTTGTGCAAAAATACATTTTTTCCTCCAAGTTTTTTATTTCAGTTGAAAAATTACTTAAAATCAGAGAGATCTGCAAGCTATTTCCATATCATGTGCCTATCTAGAGATTTTAATCACACATCATTGGGGTTAGTCAAGGAGGAAAGCAACTTAACGAGCTTTGGGACATCCTTAATTAAATGATAAATGTGCGTCAGAGTAACTTGGATCAAATTCCAATTGCTTTTAATTCAAGAATATGGTAATCTTTCATATTCCTTAGACATTCTGGTGCATTTCAAATGCATGTTATAAAAGCCCTTATTCATACCTGAAAAGGCTGCCTGCTGGAAACGGTGAGATGTTTCCTTATCCATCTGTTGCCTTGATTCCCAAATATCTGCCACAGCAGCTGTCCTCTTGTGTTACTCCAGTATCGCTGGTAGATGGCCAACCTGTAAATGTGTTTCCCAAACATGTGGTAATGTAAGCGGAAGGTGCAGCCCTCTGCGCCACTAGCATTAAGGACTGGGCTGAGTAAAGCAGCTCTGTTTTGGAAAACCTGTGGCTCTGAAGATTCTATGTAGAGATAGTGTCCTTTGGCAGTGCCCAAAGTGCTATCCTTCATCGGTCCTGTATTTAGTGTTGAAGTTGGACCCTGGTTCCAGGTCCAATCAAAGTCATCGTCTGTGTCTTGTTCCCAATTACAAATTCCATTTTCAAAATCACACTGTAGTTCAGGCACTGAAATTGGCATTAAATAACAGCAAACGACAAATAAGGTCAGAGTAACTACAATTAAGAATACTAGTTGATACTTTGCTCCTGCCAAAGTAAACCATTTTAATTTTTAAAAAATCACATTATTTTTTTAAGTGAATAAATCTGAGATAATACATCAAGTAATAGCATTTTATGGACCAAAGGTGTAATGGCTTTGGACATTATTTTCCAAATGCCTTTTATGCCTGTCCCTTCTCCATTTCTTTTACTGTAAGTCTAGGCAAATGATCATGACTACAGAGCTGGCTTATTGCCACAAATTTATGGCTCGGTAGATTTTAACATTACCTGAGTATTCCAATCACCAGTGAACATTAAAAAGTAAAACAAAGCAAAACAAAAAAACCCACAATTCAAATCCAAAGATCCTGATTTAATCAGTTCAGATGCAATAACTAAACATCCATATTCTTTATTTTTAATAAGAAAAATATTCCATTACTTAAACTGGACCCAATTTTTACTATCTTGAATGACTGATCTACACAGAATGCAGAATCTCTGATTTCATCTTTTCATGTCTGAATTTCATGAAAAGATTTTAAAGTCTATAAGTAAAGCCTCAGATGAAATCACAGAGAGCACTCCATGTGTAATCAGGATGGGTTTGAAATCTCAATTTTCATGGTTTAGATTCATAACCAAAGGATTCCTTGCTTAGTTCCAGGATCATCTGACTGTGAAGAAGCTCCCCTATCAAGTTGATTTTCTCCTGGAAACCAATTCTTGAGTAAATATCATAAGGAGAGTTTATCCACTAAATACTCATTTTATCCAAATTACAGTTGACCTGATTAAACATTAAGAATTAATTTGAAGTAGATGAGCCATTATTAAATAAAAGTCAAAGTACCTCTTTTCAGCTTCATCTCATATGATTACATGTATCTTACCACTGTGGTTGGGCAGTAAGATACCACCTGTAGAGTGGTATGATCGATTAGTTCTCATAATTTCAGCTTAGGTCTATCTGGACAAATCACCAACCCCAATCTGTCCTCTAATGAGTCATGCATGATGTACAAAGAAGCTCTGAAAAGGTGGCCTGAAGCTAAATCCTTGGCTACAAAACTATTAACTCACGACATTTAGAGATAGTGTTTTAAATTTGGGTAACTGAGAGACAATTAGTACACACAAAAAAAACAAGTTCAGTCAGCATAGGTAAGATGTTTCTTCTAGTATGTTAGTATTATAAGTATTAATATAGATCTATTTGACCAATAGCAGAAGGAACAAACACTCTCAACCATCCCTACACGTTACAGGCTGTATGATGTACTGAAAAGGAAGGAACATTGATTAATTAGAAACTGTGAGTTCCAGTCCAGGTCCCTCTTCTGCTGTTTAGCATCTATTTGGCCAGGGTAAATGACAACCTCTCTGAGATTTTTTTCTTTGTATCTATAAAACTGGCAACAAGGATCTCTGGCTTACCAACTTCAAGGAATTGCTGAAAGAATCAAATAGTTAATATATGCAAAAGTGTTTAAAAAAACATAAAAGCCAAATAAGCATTTGAACTTGCTATTGCAAGTATGTCTTTCAGAAGAAGATAGATGAGATTTAGAGTAAGGAATATTCTACCAGGAGGAAGAAGACCTAGCCTGGCTCCATCCCAAAGCAGCTGTGGGATTTTCTAACAAACCATGCAGAGTTCCTGGGTATTTGTTGCTTAGGTAAAATGTAAAAAAGTCAAATGAAATATTCACAACAACAGATATAAGAGTCTGAACTTTTTGCTGGATACCAGACTTGTGCAAAAATACATTTTTTCCTCCAAGTTTTTTATTTCAGTTGAAAAATTACTTAAAATCAGAGAGATCTGCAAGCTATTTCCATATCATGTGCCTATCTAGAGATTTTAATCACACATCATTGGGGTTAGTCAAGGAGGAAAGCAACTTAACGAGCTTTGGGACATCCTTAATTAAATGATAAATGTGCGTCAGAGTAACTTGGATCAAATTCCAATTGCTTTTAATTCAAGAATATGGTAATCTTTCATATTCCTTAGACATTCTGGTGCATTTCAAATGCATGTTATAAAAGCCCTTATTCATACCTGAAAAGGCTGCCTGCTGGAAACGGTGAGATGTTTCCTTATCCATCTGTTGCCTTGATTCCCAAATATCTGCCACAGCAGCTGTCCTCTTGTGTTACTCCAGTATCGCTGGTAGATGGCCAACCTGTAAATGTGTTTCCCAAACATGTGGTAATGTAAGCGGAAGGTGCAGCCCTCTGCGCCACTAGCATTAAGGACTGGGCTGAGTAAAGCAGCTCTGTTTTGGAAAACCTGTGGCTCTGAAGATTCTATGTAGAGATAGTGTCCTTTGGCAGTGCCCAAAGTGCTATCCTTCATCGGTCCTGTATTTAGTGTTGAAGTTGGACCCTGGTTCCAGGTCCAATCAAAGTCATCGTCTGTGTCTTGTTCCCAATTACAAATTCCATTTTCAAAATCACACTGTAGTTCAGGCACTGAAATTGGCATTAAATAACAGCAAACGACAAATAAGGTCAGAGTAACTACAATTAAGAATACTAGTTGATACTTTGCTCCTGCCAAAGTAAACCATTTTAATTTTTAAAAAATCACATTATTTTTTTAAGTGAATAAATCTGAGATAATACATCAAGTAATAGCATTTTATGGACCAAAGGTGTAATGGCTTTGGACATTATTTTCCAAATGCCTTTTATGCCTGTCCCTTCTCCATTTCTTTTACTGTAAGTCTAGGCAAATGATCATGACTACAGAGCTGGCTTATTGCCACAAATTTATGGCTCGGTAGATTTTAACATTACCTGAGTATTCCAATCACCAGTGAACATTAAAAAGTAAAACAAAGCAAAACAAAAAAACCCACAATTCAAATCCAAAGATCCTGATTTAATCAGTTCAGATGCAATAACTAAACATCCATATTCTTTATCAGCTCCCTTGGTGATTCTAAAAGGCAGAGCTGAGAACTGTCATATAGTAATAGGTTTCAGTCTCCCAGAATCACCTGGGTACATGGTAAAATTGCTTCCTCCTTGGTAAAGCCCAGCACAAATACCAGTTTGTCAGATACAGGGTGAAGCCCAGGAATCCTTATTTTTAATAAACACCCAAGGTGTTCTGATGTGTTTTCCAGATCTCACTCTGGAAAACTATTCTCTGATTTCAACCTACCCAGTTCTACATGTCCTCCACACCAGGGCCAGAATGACCACCTTTCAAAGGCAGTCTGTCATTTGCCTCCTCTATTCAATATTCTTTAACATATACTCACTTAGTGTAAACTGAAATCCAAACTCCTCTATCTTTAAAGCATCACCTTTCCCAAATTATAATAATTTCTTGTTCATCCCCACTTATTCTTCCCTCAGCAGGTAGCTGTCTTACCAACATACCCTAAACACCCAATCCTTTCTGCATCTCTGTATATGCCTAATGCTATGTCGTGTGCCTTGTTAACTCTTAGCTGTATCAACTCAGGAGAGTCTTTTCTTCTGACTTGACTGTAGCTCCTTTGAGCTGGAGCTTTTAAACTTCCAAATCCCTTCAGTCACTAGAAGAATTCAGAGCACTTATAAAGAACTGATTAGTCCCTTATCAACTGAATACTCTGCCTAACCCTCTAGGTTAATATAAGAGTGGATCTATTTTTCAAGATGTGAGGATTCTGTTGACACCAAGTATTTGTGTGGAATAAATGGGAAAGAATGTACATTTGACATTTTTTGGGCAGAAGGGACAGGTTTTAGAATTAATGAGTAGTCCCACACTCTAGCTTTTACATAAATTAATATTTTCAAAACATAAATGTCAGCTGTCCTTTACCTGTTCATCTTAGTAAATGCACTTGGTGCCAGAGGTGAACAAATACCCTGAAACAATAAATAAAAGTATGTGTGCATAAGTGCAGCCAGGCAAGAACAAATCATCTGTCTCTGAAAGCCACAGAACAGGAGCTGGACCTAATGAAGGGAACCAAGTGAGTAAATGTCAAACGGGAGACGAGCTTCCATTTGATATTTCCTTACTTGTGACTAATCAAGCCCAGCGGTGACAGGAACTGGGGACCCACGATGCACTCCCCAGGTGTCAGTCTCTGGTTGTGGAGCAGGAGGAGAATGTCAAGCTGCTGAGTTTTTTGACATAAAGCTGACACTAAAGCCAACAGAATTTTACACTGCCTGTCTTCCAACTGACTGCATGCTCAATCTTTACTTCAAGAGGGAATACATGTAACCCCACCCTTAAATAAAAGACCACACCTCTAAACACCCTTCAGAAAATATGATGTAGCTTTCTGGACATCTAATAAAGCGGCGTTCTATGTAATAAAGGAGTATGTGTAGATAGAAAGCTGTGAGAGAAACAGCCTAATGCTACTATTATGTCCTTTCATGACTATTTAGTCACAGGTAGCTTTTTGATACTATGATTGTATTGCCATAATCCCATTCTACTAAATTAATACTAAGAAATTGGAGGGGTAATCTGCTTATTTTTAGCAACAGATCAGCATTTTTTAAGGATTGGGATTTGGAGAGCTTGAAAAAGATGAAAAGGCTCTCTAAATTTGTGAAAATAAATTACCTTTAGGACAAGTAACATTTCTTACAATAGTTGTTGCTGAAATGATCAATTTTATTTACTTCTTCTCAAGGTACTGGTTGTGTGAGATGCATGGTAATTCTGACTTCAATATACCTATGTCAAAGGCCACGCATATGCAAGACTCTGTACAATGATTTTATGGAAATTTCTTAATGTAATGTTTCCTGTGATGTACCAAGCATTTTATGGTTTTACTTTGGTTTATAATTAGCCTTCCAGTGTTGCTGTCACACAGCTTGAATTTTAGGGACTGTTGCTAGTTCCAGATAAGAAAAGATGTAAACTTTTCTGATTTTTGTAATGAAAAAAAACAACAACTATTAGCTTTCTATCTATTTTTTTCAGGAAAAACTTCATTAGACACTATCTGGAGCTACTTTATTACTTCAAGACTACACAATTATCAGATACCATAAACATTTTGGTAATTTAACTTCACTCTCTGCTCCCTATAGCCAGACTATCAAATGTCCTCCTCAATACTTCCCAACTCTGCTCCCTGCCCCTTCCCCCCTCTCCCTGTGACCCAGACTGCCAGCCCCTACCCCATGCGCTCCTGCGGTGGCCTTCCAGTGGGCCGCCCACACCCACTCTCCTCTAACCCATTCACTGCACTATATCCGCAGTGACATTCTGCAATATGCCAATCCTATCATATTACCTTCCTTATTAAAAACCTTCAAATAAAGAACTTCCTCAGTATAGACTACAAAGATCAGCAGCACTGTTTCCCCTGCGTCCCCATCCTCATGGTGCACCCTGGTCCCCCTTCACCC